GCCAAAAACAGAAGGGATTTCATCTTCCTTCAAACTGGGAAACACCAGCAAAGCAAGGATTCTCTTCCTGGAGCCCACAGATGCTTTTCTCACTTTTAATATATTTTAATTATACATATATATATACACATCTTTCTGGTTTTTCTCAGGTCATTAAACCTCAGGGAAGAAAATTTTTTCCAACACAACTCTGTTCCAGTTTCAAAAACAGAAGGGATTTCATCTTCCTTCAAACTGGGAAACACCAGCAAAGCAAGGATTCTCTTCCTGGAGCCCACAGATGCTTTTCTCACTTTTAATATATTTTAATTATACATATATATATACACATCTTTCTGGTTTTTCTCAGGTCATTAAACCTCAGGGAAGAAAATTTTTTCCAACACAACTCTGTTCCAGTTTCCAATTAAACCAATTTTAATACTTTTCTCTGACAGGTTGGTAAGGATGATTTATGAGGGAGGCAAACAGCAGGAGGTCAGTGCCAAAGTTAACAGCTGAGCTTATTACAGCCACTTTAAGATTTACTCATGCCATCAAACAGCCTCTGTGCACCAAGAAGCACCAAAAATCCACAGAAAAGTTGCTGTGTTTTCAGTGTTAAATGCAGGGAAGGGAAAATAAGCTGATTCCTGCAGGAGGTTTCCAACAAGAACCAATATGGCCAGAACTGCCCAAAACCACTTTGGCCCATCAGTACTCAAGACATGAAGGACACACAGGAGATCTCCAGCACAGGAGACTGTTGGACCTGCTGGAGTGAAACCAGGAGGTAACAAGATGATTAGAGGGTTGGAGCACCATTCCTAGCAGCAAAGGTTGAGAGAACTGGGGTTGTTCAGCCTGGGAGAGAGAAGCTTTGGGGTGATCTAACTGTGGCCTTCCAGTACCTGAAGGAGCCTAAGACAGATGGAGAAAGAGTATTGACAAGGGCTTGGAGGGACAGGACACAGGGAATGGCTTCCCACTGCCAGAGGCCAGGGATAGATGGGATACTGGGAAGAAATTCTTCCCAATGAAGTTGCTGAGGTTACCCAGAGAAGCTGTGGCTGCTCCATCCCTGAAGTGTTCCAGGCCAGGTTGGATGGGGCTTGGAGCAACCTGGGCTGGTGGAAGGTGTCCCTGCCCATGGCAGGGGGTGGGATGAGATGAGCTTTAAGATCCCTTCCAACCCAAATCATTCCATGATTCTGTGCTACCCAAGTTTGGGAAAATGCCTATCTAAATTTGCAGTGATCTTCCCCTGACTAATGAGGCAGAGAAGAACCACACAAAGTGTGGAATATCCAAAACCAGAGCACCCCAGATTTGCCATTCTGCTCCAGATGGGTCTGTTCTCCTGTAACACCTCATGGACACATGGATTGTCCCATACAAACTCATAAAAACATTCAAAGGCAAAAGGAGAAGGACAAGAGCATGAACACCTGCTGTGCTGAATCAACAGGCACAATCTCATTTGCCTGTAATGATTTGGGGGGTTTAGCCCACCCTGCCACGGATATAATAAAACAAAGACCATAGGTGGAAGCAGCCAGAACTAGTGGAGATGAACCCTGACAAAAACCTTTCCTCCCTGGGACAGGCCATTCCAGAACCATCTGGCTGAGCAAAGAGAGCCAAATTACCTTTTACTTTATAAAAAAAATCAAGTATTGATTTCAGAATTGTCAGTTAAGGGGAAGAAAATGAGAGCAAAGTGTATAACCCACTTTGAGAATGACTTTGCAGTAAATCCCCCCAGGAACACCAACCTGGGTCAGTGTCACACCTCCACACACATCAGTTTAACCCCACACTTGAAGTTGTCTTTCCACTACAAAACCCACACTGGATTTCTTCCCATTTCACTGGGAAAAAAAAAAAAAAACAGGCAATCTGGAATTTCACAGGTGTGATCTTGTTCCAGGGCAGAACTTTGCTGAGGAGCAAAGCGGCAAGTTGGAAGCAAAACCAGGAAACAGCAGAATCCAAAATCTGAGGTGAACTTACTCAAATATGTTCCTAACTTTCTTGGCACCGAGAAGTTTGGCCTAGAGACTCCATGTTTTTAGAATTTGTTGGTCTTGGCAGGAGGTTGTGCCAATTTTCTGGGAGTTGTGGCTGGAATTATTAAGTTAATAGAAGCAGCTTCCACCTACACTCTGAACAGTTGTTTGTATACACCTATGTCCTTAAAACAGCCCCTGCAGCATCCTCACCACCACTTCAGAAAGCAATAGGAAAGAAACCACATGGAAAAGATGGGGAAAGGGGAAGAACTTGGTCTAAAGAAGGGAAACCTATTGTAAAATGTCCAGGGTCATTTGGGGAGAGATTAACAGCATCCAAGGATGCAGGACTAAAAAGGAGCAACACTTCACATGCAGTGTGGGTCTGCACCTCACAGCCATTCAGATATTTGGAAAGACAAACAAAATCCAGCAAAATTGCCTCTCACAGCACCAATACCCACCAAAACTGAGGCCAAGCTTTGTGATTTTGACTAAGCACTTCCACCTTTTAAAAGGGATTAGGGCAGAGAACTGCTGTGTCATGTTTTGCCTTTAAAAATCAGTATTTTTTCCTTCTTAAGCACTTCACAAATGAGTGGAATAAATGAAGGCATTGCAGCCTGTAGCTGCTCATGACTGCCAGGCCACTGAGCAGCACCATGCCCACAGAAGAGCTCTGGGGACAGAGGAGCAGGCAGTGAGAGGCTTGGGTTAACATCCCTGATTTAGGAAGGAGGTTTGAGCTGAGCTGCCTGACCCCACACAGACACAGAGAGGGAGTACTCCTCCATCCCTGCTGTTTCCAGCTGACAGACAACTGCTTTTACCTGTGGTATAAACACCATAACCCACCCCAGTGAACTGCAGCCAAGGGCATCTGATCAGGCTCTACTGTTTCAGTTTCCTTTGCAACCCATCTCAGGAAATTAAGAGTATCATTAACAGAGACACCTCCACAAGCACATCCCCCTTTGCACCCCCTTTCCTGGAATATTAAATACAAGAGAAAAAAGGCAAACCCAAAGCAGATGACATGAAAAATCTCTTCTGAGCAGGCTTTGCTGACAGCAGCAGGCACAGGAGGACTGAACTGCTCTTTGCAATGCTTCTACCTCTTAGGACAGGCCAGGAGAGCCCAGGTGCAGGGGGAAAGCTCAGCTGGTGCTGAAGGCTCCATCAGGGAGGCTGCAGCCTGCCCAAGTGCATTCCCACAGCACAGTCCTGACGGGAATTCCTGGCAGCTGATGCCTCCACAGGCGGAAGTGATTCTGCTTCAAACACTTCCTTCACCACTGATAACTGCTCCTAGCACTGCCCCTGCCAAGGCTGGGCAGATAAGGAGAGGATCTTCCATGTGCTGTAACCCAACCCTGTTCCCACAGGGATTTATTTTTAGAAGGCAGATAGGAAAATGCAAGCCCAGAGAGACAGAGGCTGTGCTGTGTGAAGGGAGGAATCTGTGTCAGATGTGATGCTGAAGTGATAGCGAAGTGATTACAGCACTTGCTTTAGCAATGGGTTTTTCAGGGAGTGAAGAATATTATCTGGGAAGAGTAGAGCTGATTAGCTCTTCATATTGCATTACTAAAACCTACTCAAGTAAAGATCACTTCCTAATTCTTTCAAGTGAAGAACAGAGTCTTTCTTTCTGGCAGGAAGTAAAGATTTACAGAATACCTGATCACTGGTTCTCCTGTTTCTATTCAGGGCACATTGCACTAAGTAAAGTAAAACCACATTTCATACAATCATGGAATAACCTGAGCTGGAAGGGACCCACAAGGACCACTGATCCAACTCCTGTCCCTGCACAGGACAGTCCAACAATCCACCCTGTGCCTGTGAGCATTGGCCAAACTTCTCCAGCTCAGTCAGGTTTGGGGCTGTGACCACCAATTCACACCATGTAAAGGGAGGAGAATCACTCTGCCCTGTATGAATTAATGACATGGAGGGTTTTGTTGAAATAGCTCAATCCCTGTGTATTAACAAGCCCTAAAGCTCAGCAAGGGCAGTCAGACTGTGACACAGCTGCTGTACTGAGACACTCAGGTGACACGTGAATGAGCTCACAAAACGAACCCTGGAACACACAACCACATCACCCCAGGCTGAGCCCACACTTGTGCACTGAACTTCACCCCAAACCAGGCTCAGGAGATGCTGAGGTTGGTGTGTGCACGTCAAGCCTTTCCGTGCTCGTTCAGCTCTCTGCAGGTCACCACACGGTGCTGGAACAACTCACACCCCTCAGGAAGCTCTGCCAACTACTGGAAATCATGCTTAAGTTTCATAAGCTGCCTTAGAAACTGGCTGTGAACTGATCTGAAGTCACTTTTGGTTGATTTAGGTATTTCTGAAGGTAAATGCCTGGTGAGCCCTTCCGGGAGAGATGCTGAGGACTCCACACTGCAGTGTCACCTGCACACTGAGGGGTCCTGTCCAGCAATACCTGTGCAAGCAGTGTCCCCTTTGTGTGGTAACTAACTGAATTTGGATGTTCTAAAGACAGCAGAGGCATCAGAGAGACATTAGCCAAGAACTGTGAAAAGGCAGCAGAGCTTAAGGAGAAGGAGCTCAGCACTGACCCAACCCATGTTGGGTAACCCCATGTAGCCTCATGGCATCTCCTTGGGGGACACAGACCACAGTGAGGATGGACCACAGCTCTAAAGATTCATCCAGTGTCAATTAAAATACATTCATTAAGCAGATCTCGGCTTGTCCTTATAAATTCAAAATCAATGCCACAGCCTTAAAAATTCAATGCAGCAATAAACCTAAGGTATTTAATCCAAATACCAGTGAATTTTGGACACTGATGCAATCTGTGAAGCCTAACCTGTAACTATAGCTTTGACATCAACTCCCTCTGCTTGGTAAACCAGCAATTTCCTGCCAGGGCAACACGTGCCTTGCTGGGCAGCCACAGGTAGCACACACTGCCGTGGGGAGCAGCAAGGCAGAACAGTTCTGAGGAGAAAAAAACCCCAAAACACACCTAGTTCTGTTAGCATGGTGCTGAGATAAGAACAAACCCCTCTCCATTCAGCAAGTTAATTTAAAACGATCTCATGAGGTGAAATGCCAAGTTATTAATACCTCTTGCACCATGACACCACATCCTAAGTGACAGAAACGTTACAAAACAACCTGAAATTTGGCCAGGCTGTTAATAGACAGCATTACACAATTCCTGACACAGTCAGATAATACTGGAGTTCTCCTATGCAAATGTTTAACAGTGAATAGATTTTGAGAGCAGTTTACACCCACCAGCCCTCAGATGCAGCTCAGTAATTTGCTATTAGGTGCCAAGCTGTCACTTCCCATCACTCCAACCCACTGCCATTCTCTGCTCTACCTTGGGAGCACAAAGGAGCCTCCAACCAGGGCTGCTTGATTAAAATGTATGAGCCCTGTGGGAGCCTATTTTTAAAGCTGTAAACTAATGCTGCTGTTGTATTAACAGCTTGCATTTCTTTCACCAGTAATTCTGGGCTTCTAAGGAAATGCTGCAATGCTCCTTCTGGGTTTCAGGAGCAAAGCTCTTGTTCTGGAGGCATTTTTGCCTATAGAAAAAGTCATTACACTGTGGGGATCTATCAGAAATCTTGCTTAGAAACAGGAAGGGATGACAGGCACAGAGCTGGCACTTAGGGCCTGAGTCATAGTCACCAAGGTTGGAGGAGACCTCTAAGTTCATTGAGTCCAACCATTAACCTGTCACTGCTGGAACCCCTAAACCCTAAACCAGATCCTCCAGTGCCACATCCAGACACCTCTGAAACACCTCCAGGGCTGGTGACTCCACCACCTCCCTGAGCAAACCTACTGAAGCACAGGTTTTGCTTTAGATACACTAATAGTTAAGTGTGTAGTGTTTTTTAGAGACAGATGTGGTGGAAACAGAGAACTGACCCCAACAAACACAGACAGACACACTTTTATGGCAGTGCTTCCCATGCTGCCATCAGCCTCTGTTCTCCTCATGGCCTCACAGCACAGACACAGAGAAAACAGCCCAGGGGATGAGATAACCAATAATCACAGAACAGTCAGAGTTGGAAGAGACCCACAAGGATCATCAGTCCAACCCCTGCCCTGCACAGACACCCCAACAATCCACCCTGTGCCTGAGAGCATTGGCCAAACACTCCTGGAGCTCTGTCAGCCTTGGGGCTGTGCCCACTGCCCTGGGGAGCTGTTCAGTGCCCAAACACCTCTGGGGGAAGAGCCTTGTCCTGATATCCAACCTAAACCTCTCCTGACACAGCTCCAGCCATTCCCTGGGTCCCATCCCTGGTCACAGAGAGCAGAGGTCAGTGCTGTCCCTGCACTGCCCTTCATGAAGAAGAAAAATAATACAGCTCAATAATCAGTACAACTTTTCCTTCCTGGGCTATATCCCTCCCCAATTACTGCTTTCCAGACAGACTTCCCCTGGTTGCAGCTGCTGGTCTGGTTGTGCCTGAGGACACACATGGGAAGCTGCAGGTGCAGCAATGATACCAAAAACCCCACAGTGCTAGAAAGCTCCTGCTTGTGGGGACTTCCCACCAGGACATGCTCCAGGAAAACATGGGAAGGATGCATTTATTATCTGATTTGACTTCTCCCTCTCACAAGCACAAAAACCTCAGCACATCAACCCTACAGGTATGCACTGCCAAGCTGGAAACTGTTCAAGAAATGCATAAACCCACAAAGAATTGAACTATTTGTCACCAAAACCCTTTAAATGCACATTGTGCTGAACCTTTAAATGCACATTTAAATCCACTTTGTGCTGAACATCCCTCAGTGATGGAAAGGAAAACTCAAGAGGATCACAGGGTGCAAAAAAGACCTGTGTGTACACAGAGACCTGCTCAACACCTACTCCAACTTAAAACTTCTCCCCAGAATGACTGAAAATTTAACAGTGTCAAATCAGCAAATTACCAGGAGACAAAAAACAGGGACATGGCTCAGTCACACTGTTCCTACACAGAGAAACTGGAAATAAACACAGTTTTCAGCAGTGAGAAGTGCTCCTGTTTGCCCAGCAGCACATCCCAGAGAGCTGTTAGGAGCTGAGCTCTGCACTGGTGTCCTCTATTCCATACCCAGGACTTGTGTAACTTGCTCTGCTCAGTGTGCACATGTGTCTGCCAGTGCCCACACAGCCCTAACTCAGAGCCACAAAGTGTGAGTAACAGCAGACACCAGCCCAGAGCAGGACTCAAGCTTCTGCTCAGCTGGAATTTTACAGAGGCAGGAAAAAAAAAAAAAAAAGCTGCATAATTCTGCCTGCAAAACTGTCAAGTAGGGAAGCATGAAAGGCTGTAAATAATTCACTCTGTATTACAGGAAATGTTTTACAAATGAAAAGGTTGTAACCCCTTTCTGGCTCTGAGGCTGGCAGATGCTTGAGGCATTTCTGCTCCTCTAAGTGCAGAACAAAACGTGCCCTGTTGGTGAGAAAGCAGCAGTGAGTGACTCCTGGGGCTCTCAGCCCTCCCTGATGGATGGATCACACAGGAGCAGAGCCTGCACACTTCCACAAGTGCAGCTCGGGCTGACTTAGCACTTTTGTTGTGTTTTGATGACAATGCAGAGCTAAGAGAAGGGATAAATCTGATTGATTTCTGTTTACATAAACCCATTCACACCATTGTTTAATGACACACACACACTAAAAATACACATGCAGTGATTACAGATGACTGAATGTTTGGTGCAGTCTTAAAACAATGACATCAGCCCAATCCAGGGGAAATATAACCAGCTCCAAGGGGTGGCCCAGCACATGGAAGCAATTCCAAGCAAAGACTCTATTGCTTTAACCTCTTATCACTAATCATTTTGCAACAAACCTCGGTGGAGGTCCCTGCAAACCTCCCCAGCAGGTCAGTTGGCAGCCAAACACAAGGATGGTTTGTATAGAGAAGAAATCTGAGCCTCACCTGGATGTTGCCAAAGTCCACGTTCTCATAGTGGAAATGTGCACATTCAGCCATCTTCGGGAAGTGTCCCTTTGTGAAGGATAACCTGGAGCACACCAAGAGCACAGCATGAGATGGATGCACAGCACTGAGCACTCAGCTCTTACAGAACACAGTCACTGATGTCAAGGAACAACAACTTGCTCAGCCCAAAGCCAAGGGAACACAGGGATTTGCTGACGTGATGCACCGAAACAGTGGGGGAAGGAACCAAGTGAGGAAGGAAAACTCAAGTGCCAAGTGGCTTTGTCATTGCATCCCTAGAGAAGCATGTGGAATTCCAGCAGCACCACCACTCAGCTCTTACAGAACACAGTCACTGATGTCAAGGAACAACAACTTGCTCAGCCCAAAGCCAAGGGAACACAGGGATTTGCTGACGTGATGCACCGAAACAGTGGGGGAAGGAACCAAGTGAGGAAGGAAAACTCAAGTGCCAAGTGGCTTTGTCATTGCATCCCTAGAGAAGCATGTGGAATTCCAGCAGCACCACCACAGCCCATTGCAGCGCAGCCGGAATTCCAACAGCACCAGAGCCTGGTGCATCCCTAAAGATCCATGTGGAATTCCAGCACCACCACAGCCCATTGCATCCATACACAAGTGTGTGCAATTCCAGCAACACCAACAGCCATTGCATCCCTATGGATCCATGTGGAATTCCAACAGCACCACCACAGCCCATTGCATCCATACACAGGTGTGTGGAGCTCCAGCAACATCAAGATCCACTGTATCCCTATGGATCCATGTGGAATTCCAACAGCACCACCACAGCCCATTGCATCCATACACAGGTGTGTGGAGCTCCAGCAACATCAAGATCCACTGTATCCCTATGGATCCATGTGGAATTCCAGCTCCACCACAGCCCATAGCATTCATACAGAAGTGCATGGAATTTCAGTACCACCACAACCCATTGCAACCATACAGATCCACGTGGAATTCCAGCAGGACCAGAGCCCATTGCATCCTTACACATCCACATGGAATTCCAGCAGGACCACAGCCCATTGCATCCCTACACACCCACATGGAATTCCAGCAGGACCACAGCCCAGTACATCCCTACAGATCCAAACACCAACAGCCACTGCATCCCTACACAGGTGTGTGGAATTCCAGCAACACCAACAGCCATTGCATCCCTAGAGAACCGTGTGGAATTCCACAAACACCACAGCCCAGTGCACCACTCCAGATCCATGTGGCATTCCAGCAGCACAGCCCTGGGCAGGGGGACAAGCAGCTCCATGACACAGCCTGCAGTGCACACCAACACCTACACGAGACACCGAGCAAAGCACAACTTTACCTGTGAAAGGCATCACAGCCCATCAGTCCCGGGGGGATGTATCTGAGGGTGCAGAACAAATGCTATTTATCCTTGGCCTTTTCTCAAAGTCCAAAGTCAGGCATAATTATCCCCAAGTGTCTCCAGTTACACTGGTGGCTGACAGGGAGATCCCTCTGGCTCTGCAACATGCTCTTGCTTCTGCTGGAGCTATCATAGACTCCTATAGATATTTCTGGTGCTGAGCCAATGAGATTGTCATTATCTAGCTCTCTCTTCCCACGGGAATCCAAGTGGGAAGTGAGATGCAGCATCTGGCTGCTCAGCACTCGAACAAAGAGCCATTTCACAGCGTCAGAGCACCACTGAGAGGTGAGCTGAAGGCACAGAGGGGTCGATATTGAGGAGTTGTGCTCCTCAAATCAGCATTCTGAGCAGAGCAATATTGATTCCTTTTGATCCCCATTGCAGGTCAGAGGTTTGAAACCTTAGCTGCAAGCAGAATCACTTGAGTTACAGCCTCTGGGAGATACTCAGAGGCAGAAATATAGCAGAAGCCCAAAGGGAAAAAAAAAATCTTGGAGATCAGAGGAGAAAAAATATCCCTTAAAAGGAAAAAACTGAAAAATCCATTCCAACCAAGATATACAGGGCAGAATGCAAAAGGAAAGAGGAAAAAAAATTTCAAAAAAAAAAAATCTATCTAGGCCACCCACTTGTCCTGGTTTAGCTTTCCAGAGCATAGGGAGACAAGGAAAATTATCTCATCTATACATCTTTAGCTTCTCTCTCTGTATGTTCTTTTGTAGTTTCTTTTTAATTAACCAGCTTCAAGAAGAAATCACAAAAAAAAAATTAGATATACTGTAACAGTGAGGTTCAAAACTCTACCCAGCTCTGTTCTGCAGCCAGAAACAGGTGGGAGAGCCACCAACCCCCTCACATCCCAATTTTAGACTAGATTAACTACAACTTGCTTTAGTCCTCATGGATTTTGGTTGCTCTGATGAAGACTCTACCAAAGATTGATGCTGAGTGTCCCAGATTGCAGCCCAATGGCTAAACCCCAGGATATCCCAACCAGGAGCCCAGCAAGGACAGGGAAATCAGAGAAGTTTGCTCTTACTTTTTGACGTTCTTGACCTTCATGCTGGCGGTGCTGCCGCAGGTGCGGAGCGGCAGCTCCCCTGGGATGTCCGGGATATCTGCTCCTCTGGCCTGCAGGAGAGAGGGGAGAGAGCAACAGGTTAAACTGGGACTGGGAGCTCTGGGCCTGCTGAGCCTCTCTGCTCTCCCAGGCAAGGGCAAAGCAGCTGAAATAAATGTGCTAAAGTTGTGCTTCTCTGCCTTTTAACAGGGAAAAGTGATGCTCGGGATTAGGATCTTGGATGTGATTATCACTCCCTGACCTGTGCTGCAGAGCTTGGTTAACTCTTAGTAATAACTGAGATCCAAGATTGAATTCAGTGCTGCTTCTGGGTTCTAAAGAGGAAGATGTCAGAGGTGGGAGTTGAACAGATATTCCCAAACTCCATACTCTGACCTCGGGATTGGATCTGACCCTCAGGACCGAAACTGATGCTCAGGATGAGGATCTTGGATGTGATTATCTCTCCCTGACCTGTGCTGCAGAGCTTTGTTAACTCATAGCAATAACCAAGATTCAAGATTTCATTCAGTGCTGCTTCTGGGTTCTAAAGAGATTTTCAGAGGTGGGAATTGAACAGACATTCCCAAACTCCATGCTTGGACACTTTGGCCAATGCTCTCAGGCACATAGTGTGATTCTTGGGGATGTCCTGTGCAGGGCCAGGAGTTGGACTGAATGATCCTTGTGTGTCCCTTCCAACCCTGAAGGTTCTGTGATTCTGTGGCTCCTTGTTATAACCTGGTTTTCCAGACCTCTCTGCACTCAGACTCAGGCAGGAGCCCTGGAAGAAGCTGCAGAGCTCCTACAGTGCAAACCAAGTTAATGACAGAGCTGCCTGTATGTGGGAGGTGAACTTCTAAAATAGATGTTTGAAGCTATTGGTTTAAGTGATGAACATATTAAAATTCCTTAATCTCTAAATGCATTTACTTCAGTGAGAGCAGAACTCCAACCTCTCTCTCCTTTGTTCTGTCCCATCCTCTCCTCCCTCCAGCTGCATCTTCTGGGTTGAGATTTTCAGAGGTGGGAATTGAACAGACATTCCCAAACTCCATGCTTGGACACTTTGGCCAATGCTCTCAGGCACATAGTGTGATTCTTGGGGATGTCCTGTGCAGGGCCAGGAGTTGGACTGAATGATCCTTGTGTGTCCCTTCCAACCCTGAAGGTTCTGTGATTCTGTGGCTCCTTGTTATATTTTCAGAGGTGGGAATTGAACAGACATTCCCAAACTCCATGCTTGGACACTTTGGCCAATGCTCTCAGGCACATAGTGTGATTCTTGGGGATGTCCTGTGCAGGGCCAGGAGTTGGACTGAATGATCCTTGTGTGTCCCTTCCAACCCTGAAGGTTCTGTGATTCTGTGGCTCCTTGTTATAAGATCCCTTCCAAACCTGAAGATTCTGTGATTCTGTGGCTCCTTGTTATAACCTGGTTTTCCAGACCTCTCTGCACTCAGACTCAGGCAGGAGCCCTGGAAGAAGCTGCAGAGCTCCTACAGTGCAAACCAAGTTAATGACAGAGCTGCCTGTATGTGGGAGGTGAACTTCTAAAATAGATGTTTGAAGCTATTGGTTTAAGTGATGAACATATTAAAATTCCTTAATCTCTAAATGCATTTACTTCAGTGAGGGCAGAACTCCAACCTCTCTCTCCTTTGTTCTGTCCCATCCTCTCCTCCCTCCAGCTGCATTTCCTAAGCCCTGAGCCCTGCTGGGGTTGGATTCTCCATCACAAGGGACTCAAAGACTCAGCTCTTGTTTTAGCTCAACAAGGGTCAAATTTACCTGTGCTTCATCACCTCACCAAGAGCTGCAGGAAGTCAAAACCATTCCCCTGCCTGTATTCATCAACCAACAGTGCTGGAGGGGGTGAATAATCCTGTTCAACTCCAGACACACAGAGGTGTGTGGTTACAGCCACACACTCTAACCTGAGGGTACACTGTCCAGTTCACCTGCTTCAGCCAACTGGATTGGAATCATGGAATCACAGAGTGCTTTGGGCTGGAAGGGACCTTAAAGATTGGCTCCTTCCAACTCCCTCCCATGGGCAGGGACATGTTGGTCACTCCAAGTCCATCCAACCTGGCCTGGAACACCTCCAGGGCTGGGGCAGCCACAGCTTCTCTGGGCAACCTGTGCCAGTGCCTCAGCACCTCACAGGGAAAAATTCCTTCCCAATATTTAACCTAACCCTGTCCCCTCTGACAGTGTAAAGCCATTCCCCCTTGTCCTGTCCCTCCAGGCCCTGATACAGCACTTGAGTGATCCCATTCTCTGCACCCAGACCAATTCCTGCTATTTCCAGCACTGCCCTTGGAAAAGCTACTCTCAGTCAACTCCATCCTCTCAACATCAGTGAATAAATGTGAGGCCAAGTCCTGCACTCTCCTAAGTGATGCTCTGACCCTGCTGTCCCACAGCTGTACACAACACACTCACCAAAGGAAAACAAGGACAACATTTATTCCCTTAAATAAACCTGTTCTGTGCTGACTGACTCTTCCTGAGCACACAATCACTTCAGGATGTAATGAGACACTTGGGAGCCTCATTGTGAATTCCAACATTAAGAGGATCACCAATTTAATAAACCTTACAGGGCTTTTACCTAAGAAAACAACTAATTACTGGAATACATGTGCCATTCCTGTAAGCTGCTTTAAGGCAAAGCTGGATGTGCTGCTTAAGGGTCTGGAGCAGCTCACTGATGAGGAAAGGCTGAGGGAGTTGGAGCTGTTCAGCCTTGAGATGACTGAGAAGGACCTCAGCAATGTATACAAGTACATGAAGGGAAAGTGCTAAGATGATGGATCAGACTCTTCCCAGGGGTGGAAACCAATAAAACACAAGAGGTAACAGCAGAAACTGATGCCCAGGAAGTTCTACCTGAATACAAGGAAGAACTTTTTCCCTGTGCAGTCACTGAGCACTGAACAGATTGCCCAGAGAGGTTGTGGATTCTCCCTCACTGGAGATATTCCAGACCTATCTGACCACAACCCTGAGCCATGTGCTCTGGGCTGGCCCTGCTGGAGCAGAGAGGTGGGACCAGATGCCCCACTGTGGTCCCTTCCAAACTCACTGACTCTGTGATTCATTTTGTAAGGAACAGAATTTCTGTAGGAAGAACGAGAATTTTTCCTCACCATCAGCAGTAGGAGCTGGTGGGATACAAAAATGGATAAACAATCTGACAGCAAACGTGGGCTTCAAGCCAGTTTGAGCAGTGGGCACAGACTATCCTGGAGCTGACTCAAAGCAGCGTAGGCAAAACTCACACCTCCAGGAGCCTCAAATGCCAGAATCAAACTTGTATTATCCTCTCCTTCCCAGCTGAGTTATGACCAAATGGTGCTGGAAGGAGGTCTCTGCCTCTCCCAGTTCCAGCAGGCTGTGTCCATTTAACTGGACTACAATGAGATGCAATACCAGAAGTAACTTTGGTGGTTGTTCCAGATAGATCTGAGCTCCTTGGACACTGCTGCAGAACAATCTCTCCAGCTCTCACAGTTGAGGGAAAAGGGTAAAACACTGAATCTGGGCAAGCTAAAAGCTCAGTATGAGGTACTAACACCAGAGAGAACTTGGTGAGGGTAAAACACTGAATGTGGGCAAGCCAAAATCTTCAGTATGAGGTACTAACACCAGAAAGAGCTTGGAGAGGGTAAAACACTGAATCTGAGCAAGCTAAAAGCTCAGTATGAGGTACTAACATCAGAGAGAACTTGGTGAGGGTAAAGCACAATCTGTGCAAGTTAAAAATCTTCAGTATGAGGTGCTAACACCAGAAAGAACTTGGTGAGGGTAAAACACTGAACCTGTGCAAGCTAAAATCTTCAGTATGAGGTATTAACACCAGAAAGAACTTGGTGAGAAGATAGATAAGCACAAAAGAAACTTACTGCAATTTAACAACCATATTAGACCTAAATAGCCACATAACCTAAAATAACCATAAATAACCACAACTTCTTTCCATCTAAACCAAAGACAGACAACTACATAAACCACTTTATTCACCATTAGTACACACCTGTTTTGATCCAAAACTTGCCATGCACTATGTCACCCTAGGTTAGTCTCCTCTCAGAGCACAAACAAAACCCTCCCAAATGAGATTTGTCATCTTTTGTGCTCTGTGCCATGGTAATTCCATTATCAAAAGCATTTTGAAACAGTTGGATTATTTACATCTGAAAATTAGCTACCTGGCAGCAGCAGTGGCTTCTCACCCCCCTGTTCTCTCTGCATCACTGTGCTGGGAGAACCTGGTAATTGCAGAGCAAATCTGTTTATGCTAATTGTTCTGTCCCATTGCCACAGCTGAATGTCACTGCTGCAGCAATCTGCTCTGGTCCACAGCTTGGGAAACAAATCAGAGCTTGACCCAGAGCTCAGCCAACTGATTTAGCAGCACCCTCAGTCCTCTCACCTCGCCAGGGAAGGCTTTGGAGTGACACCACTTCACCAGCCAACCCTGAACTAAGAAACTGTCCTGCCAAAAGCTCCCTGAAGACTACATGTCATTAGGAGCAGTTGGGACAGTAGCTGAGAGCCTCAGTATTTTATCACACATACCCACAGGGATTGGGAGGCAAAGGGATCTCACTAAAACTCTACAGCTCTATGCCATTTTGGGAGAACACATCTGTCTGTGCCATCCCTCAGTGGAGCATGGAATCACAGAATCATTAAGGTTGGAAATGACCTCTAAGATCATCAAGTCCAACCACCAACCAGCACTACCACCACGGTCACCATTAAACCACATCCTCACGTCCAACCATCAACCACCACCAAGTTCACCACTACACCACATCCTCCAGTGCCACATCCACCTATTTTGTGAACACTTGAGGGATGGTGACTCCACCTCTGCCCTGGGCAGTCTGTTCCAATGCTTGACAGCTCTTTCTGTGAAGGGATTTTCCCTAATATCTAATCTAAACCTTCCTGGGCACAGCTTGAGGTTGTCTCCTTGTCCTGCCCCTTGTTCCCTGGGAGCAGAGCCTAACTCCACCTGCTGCACCTCCTGTCAGGGAGTTGTAGAGAGCAGAAGGAC